CGCCCCCCCCCGAGCCCTGCCGGCATGCCCATGCCTCCGGGGATGCCCCCCAGGAGCAGCGTCCTCCTGAACCTGCCGGCATGCCCACACCTCCGGGGATGCCCCCCGGGAGCAGCACCCTCCTGAACCTGCCAGCATGCCCACACCTCTGGGGATGCCCCCCGGGAGCAGCACCCTCCTGAGCCTGCCGGCATGCCCACACCTCCGGGGATGCCCCCCAGGAGCGGCGTCCTCCTGAACCTGCCAGGATGCCCCCCGGGAGCAGCACCCTCCTGGCGCAGGTCACCGGGGCTGCGGCTGCCCTGGGGAGCTCCAGGCGCCTCAGGAAAATGGGGTGAAGCAGCACCACGTTAGTGCCGGTCCGGGCCAGCTATGCCCTATCTGTCTCGCAGCAGTCACCCACCTCTAGCTGCATTTAAAGCCTGGTGGTTTTACGGTGCTTAGTTGCAGCCCATGACTGGCTGAATTGCTCAGGAGCGGTCCTGTGCCTTTTTGTTGACCGACCTGTGCCTTTTTTTATTGACCTGTGCCCAAAGCCTGGCCTCCATGGCTAATGGGCTTGGTGGGAGGTGTGGGGCTGGTTCTCCCCCGCTCCTGCCATGCTCCGGCTTGGCAAGATGGTGGAAATGAGCAATTGTCTGTCTGTCCTGTAGATCATCTTCTCGGAAGACTACCAGCAGGCAGAAGGGATGGCCTGGCACAAGAAGCACTTTGCCTGCCTGGAGTGCGAGACGCTGCTGACCGGCAAACCCTTTGCTCTGGACAAGGCCAGCCTCCTGTGCACGACCTGCAGCAAAAGCAAACGCCTGTGAGCGGGGAGCAGCCCGGGGGCGAGGCGGGCTCCCCAGCGTCCCACCAGGACTGGGGTCATTGGACAAGTACATCAGAAGGGGAAGGTTAACAAAAGTTAGAGCCTGGCTATTTACTTGCAAGCAACTAAGTGCCCCCTTGCATCCCATACAGCTTGCAGGAGAGTATTTCCCCGGGGAGGAAGCAAAGGCAAGGTGTACGCCTGCGGGTGGGAGGTAGGCGGTGTGTCTGACCCAGGGGGGTTGGACGGGAGGGTCTGTGTCGTGCTGGTTTCTATAAAGTCTCTCCAAGCTTCTCATGACTGAGATCTTGCAATAGTCTTTTGGAAATAACGCATCTGAGAAGTAGCTTCTGGCATACTAAACCTCCAGTCATGGTCAAAACCAAGGGTGGTTCTTATTTTTTTGAAATCCACACTGGAAGCTTACACCACCCGGCTGCTGACAGCTGTACTAAAGCAATGGGTTTGGAGAATTTGATTAACCCGGGTGATTACTTTCTGAAAGTAACTGATACAAGACTGCAGCAAGACGTAGCTGTAGCTTTCTCCTCCTTCCGTTCAATAACGTAAAACTAAGGAGTTGGCGTGCGGGAAGGGTGCAGCCCTGCCCCGGGGCAGCCGGCTGGCTCAACCCGCGAGAGCTTTACCCCGACACGGGGGTGCCAAGGCGTCCCTGGCAGGTCCCACCCCGCCGGGCTCGCTGTTACCAGGCAAGCACCTTCTGCGGTGGCCTTGCCTTCCTGCCGCCGTGCTGGAGGTCGTTCAGCATGTGAAGCATGGGCCTTCGTTTTGGCTGGGTTTGACCGGGAGTTTTGTGGCAGAGCTGTCCAGCCTAAGCTGCCTTGGGGCGGGGGCTGAGCCTGGCGTGCTGCAGTGCCGGCGTTCCCCTGGAACGCAGCAGGGAACCGTCCCTTCCCGACGGAGCTGGTGGCACCCTCGCCCTGGGCTCTGCCCCCTCCTCAGCCCACAGCTCCCCCCGCCCTAGGGGAGGTCCCCGTCACCCCTTGGGTCCGATGGGGTGACACCATCCCAGGATCTGGCACTGAGTCTCCACGGATAGCATTTGTTCCCCAAATCATGTGATGTTTCTGAAAACATCAGGTAGTCCAGGCTGGCAGATGTCTGCGTGCTCGGTCTTTTTTTTTTCTTACATTAAATGGCTTCATTATTTTCCAAAAACTGGAAATTTTTTTTTTTTTTTTTTTTTTGGGAAGGGGGGGGGGAAGGGGCCTGTA